AAAGACTTCCCCAACCGGCGTATCCTTGATGAGGGAGAGCTGGATGCAGAAGCAGACGACCACGGCCAGCACCAGGCCGATGATGAAGTACTCAAAGATTCGCAGGCCTCTCATAGATCCGTGGGGCCGGTAAAAGATGAGAATGATCATGACGTCCAAGATGGAGATTGCGCATCCTGCAACGAGAGGTATGGCCGGCACAAGCAGGTTAAGACCAATCGCGAAGCCAATCACCTGCCCAGCCGCATCACTTTAGTAAACTGAGGCCTTGGAGACGGAGACATAGCAAGTATCGACCACACTCACCTCGGCAATATCTGTTGCGATGATGGCAACCTCTGCGAATACGTAGAGGACGTAGTTCATCCATCGCGGCAAGAAGGCCCGACATGCTTCAGCCAGGTTGAGCCCCGTGACGGTACCAAGCTTGATACAGAGGCTCTGGAGGAAGATGGCAAAGAGGTTGGACAAGAGTACGACAAAGAGCAACCTGAAACGGTAGCTTGCTCCTGCAGCGACGTCTGTTGAATAATTTCCGGGGTCGACTGTGAAAGGTGAGGAAGGCTGTTAGTCAAGTTCACTACTTTTCGCGGGTATCCACGGAAGGAGAGAGCCAGGAAGAATCTCACTATACGCAACAGCAATCATGAACCCGGGCCCGATAAACGAGCCAAACTTCACAACGGCCTTCTTCAACCGACCGTACAAGGCCTGATAAATCTTGGGCGTGTCTCCTCCATCATCAGGGGGAAGTTGACGTGAGTGAAGGTTAGGGAGAGGGGTCGCGGGGACCTCCTCTCCCTCGGGTAGACCAAGTCCATTAGACTTGGTCGTCGCGGCCGCAGCCGCGGGGCCGGAGCCGCCTTTGCCCCAATCCACATCGTCATAGGACCGCGATATATCCCCGTCGCCCGTCCCGGATTCCCCCGCCAGCGATAGGCCCTTGCCATCCTCCCCTGGCTCTAGGGCCCTGGCGTTGACGATGCCGTTGAGGTCTTGGTTGGTGGTCAAATCATTGGACAGATCATTCGGGCTCTGGTTGTAGCCCTCCCCTTCGTAGGGTTCGTCTGTACGAGATGGACGATTCATTGTTTCGCTGCACTGTACTCTAAAGCAAAGGGCTAAGGAAAGAAAGGCGTGAATGACTTCATGACACGCGTTGTCGTCAAATCTAGGGTTGTCGGCTAAGCGGCTACTCAAAACCCATGACTAATCACAAGACACACCTAGCGGGCCCGTCTAGTTTAACGTCGGCTATTGTTGCCATTATCTACAAAGATGCATAGAGAATGGTATTCACTCATTTTCTCTCGATACTCATCATTGTTTGATAGCAGAAGCCGCCACAAGATGAAAAAGTGGTTGTTTCCTAAAGCGGCAAGTACGCTATGCAGTCCACTTTTGCCAAGCAGCCAAGCAGACTAGAGAATTCAAGGTTGCATGCAGTCCAATACTCCAAGTGACCAGAAGCTCGGGACTTTATAACGGTTACAAACGTTTCTAGATCTTGCATATATTGCCTCTCCATAGAAGAGAAGAAGGTCGTTGTACTTCAGATTGATTTGCGGCTTTTTGACTTTCATTTCGGGACCGTGAGAGGAAGGGATTGACAAAACTATGGATGATGAGCATGCGAATGGACGACTACCTACGAGGTTACAATACTACTGTCAAATACGGCAGAATGCATCGTTCTGCATACGTATTGACTAACTTTACAAGGACTTGCCTCACCCAGCACTAGATATAGCATATTTCTGCAGAGCATTCTGTCATGCGTTGTAGAGTCGCAGACCCGGCTCCTGATTTAATAGGCATGAGGCCCGTGATCACATTTCATCCGAGTCAACAAATGAAACTCGTGCAGGTAAATGCTTGCAGGAACTTCGAATTGAAATTCCTACCTGAGTGACGAATGGCTCTCGTTTACAGATTCCGTTCCGTTCAGCATGCCGTGCAAGATGGGAATCAATCCTCTCGAGACCAACGGCACGGAAATGGTTCCAGCAGATCTATATCAAGTTCCTACGAATAGCTGGTCACAAAAGAGGAATCACTTTCATCGAACTTGGTCGTTCCGACATCAAGTTCAGAGTAGCGAAAACCAGCCAAAAGTCGATAGACGAACTGTAGTACCAATGGCCTTTGTATCCTACAGGCTATGGCCGGCAAGCTGGCCACTCTGTCAACTGCTAAGATGGCTTCAATATGAACATGCGGGCTTTTGTAGGGGCAATAATAAATTAACTACTAATCTGATCGTATTTCCCTTATATCTACTAGCTATAAACAATCTCAAAATAGAGCAGGACGAGGAGATTGGCTGCACTCGGATGTAGTGGCACCAACCAGTAGTTCATAGAATAATTTTACAACGCCTTTCGTTCCTTCGAAAGGGCAGCAATAGGATATGTGTTAAGTAGCAGGAGATTGATGTTAATAATTTGCCATGAACAGGCAGGTATACTGGGTTCTTCTCAGCTTATGGGCGATGAACAGCGTGCTAGCCTATCTCAAATTGCATTTTGTTAATATTGATTTTGCCTGTAACCACCTATCAACTCCCGTGCACTCATTTGGCGTCAGCTCATCGTCCCAACTGACCCAAATCTCATTCAGAATTCGTTGAGCTGACAAACCCTCCCAAGTCCAGTTCTTGCGCCCCACTCCAAGAATATAATACTTCCAAGCAGCAGACACCGCGAGCCTCCTCCACGAACCCGCGTCCCGGAGCCGATCGCCGCTCTCGTAAGGCCGATCATTCCTCACATATCGTCAGCTGCCATCATCCCACCAACACACATAAGAACACCCCCTTTACCTCATCTCGATGCTCATTCGGTCTTGCGGCGGCTAGAACCGCCAATGGCAGCCTTCTTCGAGCACCCTCTCTCCGACGTCTGACGTAGGCTCATCCTCTGCTATCAGGTCCCCTTCTCTACAACCGTCTCCGACTAGCTCTATGCCGATCCATAAGCTCGGTGGGAGCTTCGTGTAACGACCATCGCACAACGTCGCGCTTGTATGGCCTCGTGTAAAATGTCGTACACCCTTCCAGCCCCCTTCAATGCGTCCCAGAGCGTTTTTGACAAATTGTCGATAGAAATGCCTGGAATCGAGCCTTACTCGACAGAATATTTTCCTCGTGTGCAACTTTTTCCCGTCATACAAATTGTCCCGTAATACGAATCGATGGTGGGTGTTGTGGGCGACATCGGTAATCGGTGGCAAATGACGTCGGCGTGCTTTCGTTATGTTCGGAAGTTGGTGAGGGATCTTCGTGTGGCGCAGGTCAACCACCACAGATTTCGCAGGCCGCGACTCATTCGTGACTAAAAACTATTGGGTATCGTCAATCTTACACAAAGTGGTCGAGATTGGAAGCTGTCACTAGATGGCCCTGTCGTGATTGCGGAAGCCAGGTCGATGAGGATGAATGAAAGAAATTCCTTTGGTCAATTCGAGGTCGATACCTCTCCCCGCCTATGGCGAGGTATATAAACAATATGCGAACGTAATCCCCAAGGCCGTAGCCCTATACCAAAAGCCCGAAACGCCTGATGCTGTCCTATGCCCAATATGTCATTTGACGGTTTGTCGAAACCCCCAATGATGATGATGTTCGTTAGTGTACAAGTTGCGAGCCGATGCAAGTTTTTTTTTTCCTCTCCAAATACCGTGTCCGTGCCGTAAAGCCATAAACGAGTTCAGTATAACGCTATAGGCCATTTCGGCCACAAGGGGGTATCATGCCCTTCGCGGGCGGTGTCCGATTAGGCAGTGTAGTGGGTGCTCGAAGAGCACTTCCTTGGTGTGATTGTTCCTGAATGGCGTCAGGATGCGCGTCCCCCTTCATAGGTGATCAAGCTGTCGCGGTCCGAGTGCGAGTCGACGATGGTAAGGAGCGATTCAACGGGGGTGATGTGATGCAATCTGTGTCCACCTCTTCAATCTGAAAGTGTGCGTAGATGCCTTATTTCTTGCCCTTGGTTGGCGCGGCAGTGATTTTACTCGTGGTCATGAGGTCGCCAATGTATTTTTGGAGGAACTTGTTGTTGTTATCGAGCTTGTCATGTTCTTCTCTGACGGCCTCGATGCGGTTGAAGATGGTCAAGAGCGAGTCTTGCAAAGCCTTTGCGTGTCTGTAGAGAAGGGTGCTATTAGTGATTGGCGCGTCTTGAAGTGGCAGAGGGTTTCGTTTACCTCTTGAGCTCTTCTCGCGCTTCCCTTCCTAGTGCTTCGATGTCTTCACTGGTCCTCCGTGGGCTCATAGCCCTCACGTCGTCGGGTCCAAACTCTGCATCTATTGGGCCCACTGCCGAGCTGTCCCGGGGTACCACCAACGGCCCGCTGCTCTTTCTGCTGGGCAACCGAGGTCGGATAGGAGTTGGCTGGTGGATGTGGTGCTCGTCGTGGTCGTGATCGACAGAAGAAGAAGATGAGCTTGATTGGGACCGCTCGATGTGAGGAGGGAGATGCGATTGTTCGCTGAACTGTGCTTGGTGCTCGTTGTCCATGTTGACAACGTTGTCGAGTTGGCTGCTGAGGTTGTACTGTGAAGTGGTGATTGTCGGTGAGAGTACTGCGCGAAATTGCTGGCGTTCAGGGGACAGTATGGATTGATACGATTGCCAAGGGACAGGAGAAGTTGGTTGCTAAAGAGCGAAGAGGGCGGCTCAAAAGGCAAATATGGTTTTGAATGGATGCAACTCCGTCACCAGGCTCGAGTTGAGAAACGGGGTCTTGCCACCTTGTAAAGCAGGGTCAAGGCTCTCTGGAGCAGGCTCACAGTGGCGGAGGAGTCGAGGATGGCGGCGGAAGAGTCAGGTGGTTGCAAAGGTGGTATTAGTAGCGGTGATGGCGGCGGGTGGTGGTGTCTATGGGGCGTGGATTATTATGGAATGTAGGGGTATTGGTGGTTGTATTCCGGAAGCAAGTAGGGTCCTACCGGTCTCGTAGGCAGGGACAGAGCCGGCGGCGGGAGGAGGGAAGAAGAGCAGATGAAAAGGACCAAGCTGAGTGTCGAGCAAAGGGGAAGAGAAAGAAAAAAAAGGCGCGGTGGGCCGCAACGGGTAGTGTATGACTATGAATGGGGGGCAGACGAGGTCTCGTGGGTAGTGGGTGGGTTTTTGGGCAGCCTCTGCCTTTTTTTTTTTTTTTTTTTTTTTTCTGCGCTCAATTTTCCCTCTTCCTTGTCACTTTGTCTTTGGGGGAGGGATATGTATGGGTTCTTGGAAGAAATCGTCTCTCGCGCCGATTACTTCTCTTTTGCTGCTCCTTAAGGTGGGGGTCGTACGGCAATCGGAATTTGGGAAGCGGGAGAAAAGAGAATAGAGACCCAAAGAATAGGTGACTGAGAGTGGGAATGTCGTGGAAGTAATACGGGATTGCGACGGTAGGGAAGACCGAGCGAGAGCACGGAGGTGATGAGCGACAGCAGGTATGTATGTATGTATGTATGTACTCGGTAGCATGCGGTTGCGTCGACGGCCGTGGTAGCTGTACATACAATGGAATGCGATCTGTGGGAATGGCAGAGAAAGAGGTGAAAGGGTCGCAAATAGCTGGCTTGGCTTGGGTGGGGTTTGCTTCAGGCGTTGACGTTTACAGGCGGCCAAGTTGTCGCGATCTGCGGTACTCAGGACCAGTTGCAAATGGGATGCCCTCTTTGGCCCTTTTGGTTGGACTTTGGAGGCTTTGTGGTGTCGATCGGATTGGGGCCCTTGCCAGACTCCCACCCAATGTCGTAGGAGTCGAGGATTGAGTCTGCGGCAAAGGCAGAACGGGGAGGGTGTGCGAGCGAGGGCGCCTTGAGTGCTGCTGGGGGTGGTGGAGAGTGACGATGGACACGACAGGGGTCATCGAGAGGGACCGCAACACAACGACAGGGGCGGGACAGCAAAGGTCGAAATGGCAGTCGTCCGTTGTAACTGGTTGTTATGCGTAGAGTGGCCCGGTCAGGCTGAAGCGGTGTGGAGAAGGATGATGTTATCGCAACCGTTTTGTCGCCGTGCGTGTGTCGTGGGTTGTTTTGCCTCTGCAACTCTTTCTCCTGAGGGAGCCTCAACTGGGACTGGGTTTGCTTGCTTTTCCAGACTCGAGAGGTGTTGCGTAGCTGGGTGTCTCTGTCATGCCGTGCGTCTTGGATGGTATTCTTTAGGGTATTCGCTGGTTCGCCTGGTCGGTGCGGTGCAAGCTGCAAAGAACTTGAGCATGCCACTATGCCAATGTAGTCAGCTAGGTACCTAGGTAGTGGCTAGGAAGCTGAGAGTTGGGAGATGCAGGTGGGGGCCGTGATGCTGTGCTCCTGTATCCAAGCACGGTGTGGGATGTGCGTGGCCATGTAGGAATGGAATGCTATGGCATGTAGGTATGGGTTCATACTAACGTTTCCTGGTGTGTGGTGAGGGAGCGGCAGCATGGACGGCTCCCGTGTGATGTTTGATTGACCACCGAGTCCAGTGGAATTACGGGAGGGTCGAATCGGAGATGGTGAGAGCAAGCTGCCACACTGCTCCGGCGCCACTGAGTGCAGTAGTGGCTAGGGTAGATCTTGACCGTGATCCAGTTCGTGATGCTGCGGCTGCGGTAGCAATCTGCTCTCTACCAAGGTATGCAAGCAGGAAAGATGGCGGCAACCGTGGTCTTGGACTTTGTAGTCTGATGTGCTGAATAGAGACTCAGGTCGAAAACAGATAGATAGTGCTTGACCCCTTGAACCAGCCATGCACCTATGGAAGCAGAAACACGCCGAGCAGGAATAGTGTAATGGTGCGCAGCGGGGTGGCACGGCCTGGTTGGAATTCGAGATTGACGACAACCTCAGAGGGCGACGGCGTGTTTGTGATTGTTTGCGCCTGAGACGGATGAGACTGATGAGACGGACGGATGCCAGAGAGGGGAAGGGCGGTACGTACCGAAAAGCTCTGGTCACTGGACTTGTCCGTCAGGGCACCTTCAGAAGTTCAACCTGGGAAGGGGGGGGAACGCCCAACTTCCAAGTACCTTACCTAGGTAACTATGTACATACACAGTAAGCAGGTAGGGTAGGTTGTTGCTAAAAGCGTCCAAGTGCCCGGTTAGAATGGAAGGTGGGAGGAAGCATTTGGGGGGCAACGATGAGGCAAGGAACCGCGCAAAAGATGGGGAAAGCAGGGAAAGACCTGTCGTGGGAAAAAAAAACCTACCTAACAGGGAGGCTACCGCTTCCACCGAAGGCTTGATGTACGTACCTCGGGGTTTTCCATTGGATCCAGGGAAAGTATCCCCGTACCGCACCGGCGGGTCCTTTAATTCGGTGTCCCTGACCCTGCGCTTGCAAATTGGTGCTATTCTCTACGTATCTTAGTACTTGTTCACTTGACCTGAGGCATTCCTTTTCTGCCCACATGTCATGCTGGCCTTCCCCACACATCGTGACGTTGGTCGGGCATGTCAGCACCGCACCCCGGTACGTACACAGTAGGTATTCAAAGGCACATGATCCTCTACCTAGGTAGCCAGATACGTAGATACGTACTCTCAAAAGACGGTCTCCCTTCCGTTGCTTTCTCTCCGGCTTCCACGTCCACTTCCACTTCCACATCCACTGCCCCGTCCCGTCGCTAATTGCAATTTGCTGGGTGTCACCGTGCCACACCGGACGAGCTTCCGTTCCTCTCATCCCGTCCTCATCCTCGGGCCTCTCCTTTCAACCTGATTCATCGTACTCCCGCCCTCCGGGCCTTTCTCCCCTACGGTCCTGCCACCTCTTTCACGATTTTTGACGATTCTGTAGCTTGTACTCATAGTCTGGTCTGTACTTGCCGACTGCCGCCTGCCTGCGATTTGCAATTCCACCTTCTTACACTAGTAGGGTGTGACAAGGCACTAAGGCAGGTGGCCCGGAGTCTTGCCGACGTCGCTCCATGTAGCAATCCATAGCAATAAGGTATCAACATGCGTCTCGCTGAGATTGTTAAAGCTTGAGACTATCCGTACAGCTTTTCCCATATAATTTTATCACGATCGTGGACTGGAAAGCCCCCACCTACACAGTCTTTGGTGCTGGCCGAAATCATCAATTTCACAAATGCCACCCCTCGCATCCATCACTCCCTCTTGACTCCTTGAGTCGTAGCACTGCTGTGCAACCGTTAATGCCGCCGATCCCCTACGTTACTGCTTGCTCCTGCTTCTCTTCTCCTCGACATCGTGCAAGTAGTTACCCACCCACCACCACCACCGCCGCCGCCACTGCTGAGCGATCCAAAAGAAATCTCCAATGGAGAAGCAAAAGTAATTGCATGCCAAGATACCTCACCGATTTGTTGGCAAATACCTATCAGAACTTCCACACTCACACTTGCTACTTCGTACTCACCTGTCTAAATGGGTAGCAGAGATATTGCTTAAGTATCAGGATTTGTCTTCCCCGACCTCCCACAAGGACCCTGGATCTCTAATTAACCAACCAACCAACCAACCAACCCAACAACACACTACACTACATGGAAGCGAGCAGAGCAAATGCTGTTTACTACGTAGAAGTCAAACGAAACCTACCCTTTGTGTCTGCGCCTGCGCCTACGCTGTGTCTCTTCACCCGCCGCCCGCGTCTTGTGGGACCAAGTACCCATGAATACCTACCTTAGGCAGATGGGTACAGAGTAGGTAGGGATAGCAGCAGTATAGTTACAGAGTACGTACGGAACCTGCACAGAGTACGCATTTCTGCCTGTCAACTCAAGTAGGGATACTTGGGACTTTCCGCCGTTGAACCCCTGCCAGGGCCCAAATTGACTGATCAGCGTCTGTGACGCCATACCGTCCAAGGTCAAGACTGACACCCCCGATCTCCACCATCCATCCACGACAGGAACTCGAGAGCTCAGAGTTGGGCTACGGGGGCGTATCCATCCATCCACAATCCGAGCATACATTTAGATTTGTCTGCCAGGCTCAACGCCTGGCTTCTCACTGGCGCGCGAACCTCTCCGCCGTCCACTCCCGGCAGACAGCAGCCGGTTTGGCGGCATTGGCGCCCTCCACCCATCCCCGTCTTACCACTCTTGAGTCTTTACCTACGGATACTGCCAGGAGACAGGCGGTTACTATCATGAATTCGTCTCCAGTACAAGAGCGGATTCCAATCCCCATACGACCGCCTGCCTGCCCGCCTGGTCGAAGAGGCGTAGCTGCTCAACTGCTCACTCAGCAAGACTCAAAAGCATCAAAAGTAGCCACGCTAAACATCCGCATCCGTACAAAGTATATGGAATATATATGGATACACCACGCTACGCGTCGTATGGGGCATTCGAGGGCGGCAGGTCGCGATCGAGGTGGGGGTTTACGGTCCCTTTTTCCTTCTCGCGATGGAGCAACCGTCCCGCTCTCAACCGTTTGTTCCCAATCCTGATCCTCCCGTTCCTCGTGTCACGCGGCCAAGACGATGAGAAACTCGCCCTAGGACCGACATGTCGTGACAATGACATGGCGAAGAGAGAATTTCTTTTCTTCACCAGCGACACTCTGCTCAGTTCGAACCTCACGTCACCACGCCTCGCAGAGCCGGAAGCCGAAACTGCGCGGCTTTGGGCATCCACGATGCTTATTTCAAGACATTGACCAACGGTAGCAGCCGCCAGCGGTCAAACCCACGATACCTACCACTCTGTCACATCTCGGGATACCGACCGCCGTCCGCAAAAGATGACAGGATCTTTCCCTCCCACTAGGGCAGGCCCCCAAAACTCAGTCGTCCAGTGACTCCCCACCCACCCAGGACCCTCTCGGCCCCGTTCCTACATTAGAACAACCGCCCGACCCAGGTAATATTCAGCGCGACGTTGTACAGGATGTATACTAGTTGTTGCGCTTGCACACTACATTAGTTTGGCCAGCGCCACGGGTCCGACTGGGAACAAGAGACGGGGAGCACTGCGTAAGGCAGGGACAAAGAAGGCAGCACAAGGCAGAACTAGTAAGGAAAGGCTCACCGGCCAGGTAACCGAGAGAGCAAGCCGCTTGCTCGCCTGTTTGCTTGCTGTACTTGCATGCGCTGACCGCAATGGAAAACCCAATAGCTGAGCAAGAAACCGAGAAAGAAGCATATCCTTTGTGTGTCTCCGATGCAGGGACCCTGGAGAGACAGGCTGAGATCTCGGATGGCTTTTTCTTCTCTCTCGCTACACTTCCACGCTTCTTTCCAGGGCCACCTTTCTCCCTGATACACTAGCCCTCCTCCCTGCTCTCTAGAGTCTACTGATACCTTACAGTACGATAGGTCGGCCTCAGGGATGTTTTGATTTTTGTTCCCAAACTATCGACGAACCTCGTGTGTACGGATATTTACTCTTTTTCTCGCCCTCAAACACAAAGATTGGTGATTGCCCTCAGCGAGTTACAGAGTACTTCGTGCCCCTCACGCAGTTTGCCTTAGCTATGACGCGGTTGCTGGCGGCTGAGAACACACCCGAACGACTGCTCTCCATGGATTCTGGCATTCTGCCCGTCTGCGCCTCCAAGAATGATCCCGGCGCCACAACCGTTGCATCTTACAGGCTGTGAACTCTCAACTCTCCTCCACCACCACCACCTCCACCAGGAAACCTGACACACCGAGAGGGGCCTCGGACAAGGTACCCCGGAGCCCCTGGCATCGGCCGAGTGATGTCATCGGATCAGCGGCCGAAACTTGTCTTTCATTTCATCAGCCTCTCAGATCGTCTGCTTCGTTCCCTCAATTTTGCCTCTCGCCATGCAGCAACTGGCAGCCTGTCTCCCTGCACCGCTCCGGCAAATCACGAGTCAATCCTTCTGCCCAACCGTCGCCGTCATCCAACACTTACGCAGTACACGACGTCTCTGACCTCTTCAAGCGTCTTACCGTGGATCCCGAATTCCTTTTCATGCTGCCCACCGGCGCCGTTTCACCACCTCAACTACACGTCAACGTTCTTGGGCAGAGGAAGCAGAGCAATAGACTCGCAGTATTTGCAAATATGCTATGGGTATCAGAGGCATTCGCAAGCACGGCAATATAGGCATGGGAGCCCTCGTCAATTCCCCGCAACAGAGCAACAGACGATCCTCTCTCAAACCTGCGTGCGAATGGATGTATTCAGACGTTTCTCTCACATGGTTCAACATTTCAGCCGGGGGCTAAGTGAAGGCCATTGCTTGGTACTGGCCGTCTGGGATAGGACTCGCACAATTGTACCACCAGAAACACGCTTCTCTCAGGCTTGCGGTTGATGTCCACCGTTGGCAGAAGCTAAGAGCAGATCTCTATTCGCTAAGCCGCCACCGCTGGTGAGGAGCAGATCATCATCATCGTCGGCCCCCCGTTCTCCATTGTTGTGCGATACTCACGTCCTAAACGTTCATGTACACCGGGCATGGTGAACGGACGGATCATCACTGTGTCCCGTGCATATCGTCAGGCGGTCTGAATTTCGCAGCAATAGCATCGTGTGTTGGCGGGCTGCCAATGTCCAATGGTAGGATGAACACAAAGGTTCCACTTGCGAAATCCCCAAATCCACTTCTCCATCGCACAACCTTTGAGTTGTCTCCATCTGTCCACTCCTGACTATTCCAACAAACGCGGCCAAGCAGCCGGTTTTTTGCTCAACGCACAGCCTGCCGTGTTGCAAATTCGCCTAGCATTCCCCGGCAACAGACCAACATCTCTCTTGTGTTCGGCGTCCGAAACTAACATCTTCCCCGAATGGGAAAACGTCAACAACAAGGACGTACCCATATCAGCTTCCGGCAAGACACCTGGCGAGGGCTCTAAAAAGCAGGAATGCGAGCATGGCATTTTGCAAAAGCCCAAGGTCCCCAAAAAATTGCACCATCTTCTAGGCTCGTACAGTGCTAGCGCAACCGGTTTCTCACAATGTTTCCGTCTCCCCTGTCACCTGGAAAGGACCCTTTCCCTTTTCCTCTACAGCCTTTTGCCAAATCAGTCTACCCCATTCCCCCTCCTCAGATTCCGAACGAGGCAATGGGAACAAGTGATCGGCGGTGCCCAGCATGAAGAGCGACGCCCGGCACTCAGAACAGCAAAGCGACGATCCCACAATAAGCCCGACTCAGCCGATCGTCTCCGGCCAATGGCATTCCCGGTATGGGGATCGTCATCCAAAAGTAAAATCCAAGGGGTGGTTGTCAGTGCTGCACTCTTCCACGTCTGCGTGGACGGGTCAGGTTCCGGGAGGATATCGTTGCAAGACTACAACGTCGCTCGCACTGCGACGCCCTATCATGATTCCTACTCACATCTCATCAGCAGGACATATCAGGAACAGGATGTCTCCTGTCCTACTTGTCCACGATCATTCGACAGAAAGGCCTTTCATTCGCATGTTCGACCACCAGACTAACACCGCATAAACCGTTCTGCTCCGCCCCCAAGCCGGGGAGAGACCCGGGATATCCTACGAAATTCGGACCACAGGCAACATAATAGTGGGATCATGGCCGTTCCTCTTGCCGCCCACCAGTGTCAGCGGCTTCCCTGCATTATCGTTTGTGCCATGTTTCGTCTCCCGCGCAGGTCACCTTATCGCACGGTTGTATCTATTGTCCCTCCTTCTCCCTAGCGACTCTCGGGCACAATGTCGTCCTGATTAGACACTCGTGGTTAATGGTTCTTCTCCGCCGTACTTGTTGGGATTGGGTTCACCGTACATCACATTCCACACAACCACATGCAAGCGCGTCCCGGACGGCATGAATGCCGGGGCCACGGAACGGGTCAGATGAGACCGGACGGCGACTTCCTATGACCGTAGACGCGCAATCTCCCTTGTTTCTTGGTTCTTTTCCCCCGCCCGTCGGGACCAAAGCCCAGTTTGCGAGTTGGTCACAGAGTTGCTACCCAGCGGCGGCGGCGGAGGAAGGCAACGGCGATTTCGCGAGTCCCCGTTTCTCGTGTTACCGTCGTCACCCTGCCTTTTGCCATCCGGTGCCGTGGCGCCGCCTTGGTGCACATCGACTTGGCTTTTTCTGCTTTCGCCTCTTTTTTCTTCCGTTGCCACGAGGTGAGTAAGTAAGTTAAGCGTTTCTGCCCGCCAGAGGACGTCGCAACGTCAACCTTGGATCGTGACCAGCTCCTCTGTGCCACCCCACCAACAACGTGTATTTGCTCGCCGCCTCCCTACCCAAAAGCATTCGCCGCCTTGGATCCTTTCTCGGCGGTCGGGCGCGGTAAGGCATTATCTGTACGAAGTATCTCACGTGCAGACATTTACTTTGCTCGGAAGCTGTCCGGGATTTTGCTGAACCGGGCCCCAGTAATTGCTGTTGGAACAGAGTACAGACTGCAGATGACGATCCAATTATTCGGCCAAAAAGAACTGGATCCCCAAAAAGGAACGCGTTGAAATTCTGGCGTTTGCGTGAGATTCGCGTCGGCCCCGCGTAACCATGGAGAACAAAGAAACTGGGAAATCTCTTCAATGGCAATCTCATGACCCCACGTGGATTTTCCCAGGTACTACTCACCGGGAGAGTATCTGCAAGCCAGAATTCCAATTCCCGGCTCCGGCATACGAGATTCAAACAGCCGTACATCGATATGTTGTGGAGAGTCAGAAGTTTATTGTAAGTTTTGTAAATCGTAACGAGCCAACCCGTACATGTGTTTCCGGCTTTTCAAATGGGGAAAACCTGGTATCGAGTCGCAAGTGCAACGTTGAACGGTCTTCAAACGTAGTAGTGGCCCAATGGGTTTTCAAAAGCTTGACTCAGCTGACAGTCTGAGCCCAAAGCTGGTGGTGGCCCAGGTGGGTAAATGGAAGACAAGCAATTTAGCAGCTTTTCTCCATGACTGTTTCTATGTAATCTCTCTTCGGAGGATTTCATCCAGGTGGTTCCATGAGAGTTGGATGTTGGGGTTTCCACGTTGACTCCCCCCATCCCCGCCGTATGCAGTGGCAAACTTTACGATTGTTGTAGGCAACGATCTTCCTACCTCTGGAGAAGCGTCAACGGCGTCGAAGGCGTCGCGAGTGAAGCCCCTTCAAACAAGAGATGTGGATTTTATCTTGTCTACGTATATCGCGCCTGCATTTTCTGGAGGTATTGTCCTTAGTGGGATGAATGGCTTCGGATAGGTTTTCCTTTCCGCTTGGTTGGCTGGTTGGTGTTAGTATCGGCATCTAGGTTTAGTTTGCTTCCACGGTGATACGCGTCATGAAAATGTGGGATAAGCGCGCGGGACTTCAGGCTTGATGGTTTGAGTGACTGTAGTGAGTTTCGTGGTTGAGTTTTCCCACGCTGAGATGAGATCAAGACTGCCCACGTTCAGTCAGAATGAAAGGAGAACATTATACGCTATCCCTCGTCCAACAAAGCAGGGTGAGATGAGTGGGATTTCTTCGAAGGATGGTTGGAAAGTTTCAATGTTTGTAGCGGTATCATGTTATGACGACTTCACTCCCTCCTCATGGTTTGGAGAAAGGGGTCCCAAGGGTTCGATGCTGGGAACCAACAAGAGGATGAGCATGTTTAGTGTAAGGTAGTCAGAGGGGTCATGCTGACGCTTTTGGGGTATTACACTTTGGGCCTGCGTCTTGCATGTGCAAATGTGCGTGTTGTCCGCTTGGCAGGCTCCTGGGGATATTCACTCGATGTACGATTCTGTGTGAAGGGGTCCAGTGGAAAGTCAATCCTGCCCGGCGGACTCAACTCCTAAGTTTCTTGAGAAAGTGGGTAGTAGAAGTATCATTGGCTCGATATTTCCCCCCCGGTCTTGCGTCTGCATGTGGTTTCTAGGTTTGGGGGCGAGTTGGAGATATTGCGTGTTGGGTTTGGTGTGTTTTTGACGCTTACTGGTTTGGGAGTTACAAGCGTTTGGACGTTGATGATGACGAGAACGAAAACTAGCGAGCATCCTCATACTGGACCCTGGAAAGCCATGTGAGATGCCTTGGCTGAACCCAAAAGATTACCTATGAGTTTATGTTCTGGCGCGGTATGTGTAAAATGTGGCTTTAACGAACGATATGATCACTGGATTAGAATCATGTTTCGAATCAATTTTCCAATACCCTGATGTTGCGTCGTTTCTGGCTTTGAAAATACATAGATATCATCTTCGCATTCGGTCTCAAAAGTTGCCAACATTATGCGAAGAGATTCTCTCATGCGAAGAGACTCGGTCATGGAAAGTTGAATGTTTTCAGTTTTGTATAAACTTTTTGAATAACTCGGGCTCTCTCGTGGAAGGGTTGTGTCTGGAATTAATTCACTTGGGCTTAAAAGTCGTAGCAGCCCATCCATAAGCTCTTTCAATCCAATTGAGTGACCACAACATGATCGTCTCCTGAACCCTGTGACCAATTTTCAATAGGTTTATACTTATTCAGCGCTATTTTTTAGGCTAAAAGTTTGAAGAAAATGCTTTAAGCCCGTCTCTTAATGTCCGTTCTGTCAAATTTTCGAGCAAATGTTCCTCTGCTCAGAGCTTCCTGAAATGTTCATGATTCAAATGGTCTTGAATTTTTAGAGCTGCAGAACCTGCAGAGTTTATTAGTATAGCTCTGTAGAGTCGTAAACTCCAGAGAATAGGGCTTCTGTTTATTGATTCAGAGTTGCGAGTTTGCGCAACCTGCAATTATGGTGTAGTCATCGTAAAGCTGTTATCGGTCTCCGGTGTTTGGCTCCTAAGATACAGAGAGGGCAAGATGGGTCATCAGATTACGCTCAAAGTCATATGTTACTTCAATTATTCAAATGCATATGCAATTCAATTTTCATGATGTTTAAAGTGACTTGGGAATAGGGTTGTTGCTTCGAGTTGTTCAAGGTCTACTTGACATATCCGCCGTGAACCTGGTTCGAAGAGAATGAATGTCTCGGTATAATCGCAGTCACTTAGGATAAGTTATGTATACAAGAGAATCTAAATCACTCCTCTAAAGCTTCCCGATAGTGAAAATCTACAAGTGTCGCAAGAATCTCACAGGGTAAATTAGGGTTTGTCCAATACGTCTAATGGACGTTTTATTCCACACACTCAATTTAACTACTTCGAATTACCCTAGCTACTTCACTAAGATCCCTTACTGTGTTGTATTGTACTGAATATAAGAGTGAAATTAATGTGAGTGGATATATTTCCCTTCTTCACTTTTCTTCGAAGACTTCACCGGTCACGGACACATAGTCGCAAGCCCTTGACGTCGAATGCCCTCGTCTTGCCATCTTCCGAGTGCTCCCTTGGTGACGTGCACCAAATTCAACAGAGACTCCCCATCTGAAAGAAAGCGTCTGAAGAGGGTTTATACCATTCCTCTCTTTGACCTTCCTAGCTTTCCATCACGTTCTTTGCAACTTTACAAACAAACTGAAACCGTCACTCATAAGAGGGGACTGTAAACCCTTGATTCTTGCCGAAGAGAGGCTCTTTGTTTCTTCCGAGAAAGTCTTCTGAGGCCTTCAATTTCTCTTCCTGTGATACAGTAGTTCCTTCTATTAACGTAGCCTATAGACGACGCCGAAATTCGCCCTTTCTCTATCACCAACGCGGCAACGCCTTTGTCTGCCTTCTCAGGAGGATCCCAGGCTTTGTCGACTATCATCTGTTCGTCGTCGATCTGCTGATTCATGGCCATGATCGGTCTCCCTATTCAGTCAGGCGTCTATCCTGGGCCTGTCAGAAATGGTCCAATGTTCCGCAGATTGAAGCTGGGATCGGTATCCTCTTCCATCCCAATTTAGGATTATCTGAAGCTAAGATAGCTACTTGAAAAACTCGCCACTGACGGTGGCACCGAGTCCGCCCGTGTGACGCTGGGCTATAAGGATAGAAATAGCAAGAAGAATGTCCTTGTTGACATCTCCGACCCGGGCGTGCTCGTAAGGAGCAATGGCCGCGACTTCCCTAGAGTCACCAGCCTCCTGGATGACCTCCGTTATAGCGGCTTTAGTCACCACCTGGAGGGCACCTGCAGATCAAGTTCCTGATCTATCAACATAACAAGGCTTTCCTCCGGCGAACCGCCAGCATCAATATTCCCAAGAGATGTTGCCGACCACATGCAGTCTATCTTCCAGAACAAAATGAAGGGCAGAGAGAATCCCTGGAGAGTTTTGGCTCTGGAGAAGGCATCCCACCCCACATTGACGAGAACTTCAAGAATATCGGCAAAGTGATAGCATTGGTCTGCCAGAAACGCAGTCACATCGCCAAAAGGCTAGAGCATCGTCGCTGACCATCTTTACCGGAACAACAAGACTCTGTAAGACATGCTCCTAAAACTTCTTGAAGTCATTGCCCCGGTTCGAGAATGCATGTAGTCTGCAAGCCTCGCTACGCTTCCGACGACGGCATGGACTGCCGCCTCACGACCGAGGACGGCACTTGCACCCTCTGTCAGCTGCCCATAATCGGGAATATCTGTGTCCATGAGCTCACGCTTAGGTACTTTGCTTCTGAATTCGAGCTAAGACGGGGTGACTTTATGCTTCTCGACATCATCACCACAGGTGCTGGCAACAATCCCATTACGCGGCATTGCCGCTTCCAGATTTCCATCCATATGGATCCTGAGGGGAGGAACCTGAAGATAAACGCAAACTTTGACTGGAAGCCTTATAATCTTGGGAGTCTCAGCCACTAGTCTCCCATCACAGATATTGTCAGGTATCTCGACGATGAGAGCGCGATCCGAATCGCAGAATAGGCAGTTTCGAGACAACTGGCCATCACATGATAGTAGAAGCCAAAAAAGAAAGACGATGTATATGGATGCGTACATTGGGCCTCGTCTCAAGGGCCTGGCGACTTTGTCAGCGGTTGTGGAGAGGGTGATCTGGTTCAGGTAGACTGTAGATAGCACCCTTGAAGTGCCACTTTGGCTGCTGAACACCAATCGTAAGCCTGGCATACCCATCGAACCATGGCAGCCACCTATCGAGGCTCCTGATCAGTCGCTTATGCCTGGAAACATGGCGCTGTTGTCTACTTCCGGCGGTCTTGTGCAAGCCCGCCCTGCTGTGAACACCCTTCCTCAGAATTCTGACCGCCGGATACTAAGTATCATGATTCAAGACTTCGATAGTCAACGACCTGGTTGAAAACGAAATAGGCTTTAACGGCCCCGACGAGGGGATGCAGACTCTTTGGTTGTTCAATGGGAGAAGTCCCTGTAGTTCGAGATATAGATATCTCGCTCTTCATAACAAAGCCCGCCCTATGCACCTAATTAAACCCATGAAAAAAAATATAACAGTTAATGAAATGGTTAGACTTTGTGCCGTCGTCTCATAAAACCCAAACGCTGATAACCACGCCAGTTGTTCCCCTGCTTCTCCTCCTCTTTGCTCTTTGATCTTTCTGTCTCATCTGGATCTGGGATCATGTCCCTCGCTTCTCGCATCTGTCTCGCTCTCTCCTCTTTTTTCTTTTCTACAAACTCCCACGGGGCGTTTGTCCGAAATACCTTTCGTTCAGCATTTTAGAAGAAATCGAAAATCATTCTTATTGTACCTCTTTCTCCTTTCCCTTCTCGTTTGTTGCTGTGTCGTCTTCGTTGTAGAGGCCGTGCTCGTCAATGTACTTGATGACTTCGGCAGGGATGAGCTAGATATATGTTAGCCGTTGGTTACCTCAAGACGTATGCAATAACTTTTTGGAAAACTCACGTAGTCAATGCTCATATTCCTCCTCAGCAACAATCGAATCTTGGTACTCGAAACATCGTTGGGAACGACTTGCGGAATGTAGTAGATCTGGTCCTCGTACTCCTTAAGATTACCGAGTGCCTCGTCAATATTTACACCAGCCCTCTCGAGCACGAAAGCACCAAAGTCACCCAGGATATGTCTCAAATCAGAAGGTGACCAGACGCCAGGCTGACTCATCGTGTTAATCAGGTCGGCGCCAGCAAGCACGGCAATACGCACGCGCTTACCGTTGCAGCCGCCGCGCTTGACGTTGATCTCGTGCTCAAAGTGGTCGAGGACGAGGGCGGTGGGCACGTAGGCCGTTTGCTCGGCCTCCCAGGGATCGACCATGAGGAAGCGTGAGGTCTGCTCGGCGGCGATCTCGCACATGCGGCGGCGGTGGCAGGCGGGTGCGAGGCCGCGCTTCTTGTAGGCGTCGGAGACGGGGGAGAGGTAGGAGCCGATGAGCTCAAAGTTTGTGTTGTAGCGGACGTAGTCTGCGGCCATGACGGCCATGCGCAGGTGAAGGAAGGTGATGGGGCTGTAGGAGCCGGGAGCGACGAGGACGAGGGGCTCGCGGTCGGGTTCGGATTGCTGGAGGCGGAGGCGGTGCTCCGGGAAGGAGTAGCCGGGGGGCGCCATGGCCTCGATTTCCTCCGGGGTGGCGACCATTGTGAGGGTTCGCGGGCGGGCGGCGGCGGTGATGGACGCGGCGAAGGGGTTGTTGCTGCGCGGCGTGCTGAGACGCCGGAGAGGAGAGGTCGGCGGACGGTGGTAGTAGGCTGGGGGCGAGAAAAGCCGGAAACCAGCTCTCATCAACTTTTTGTTCTGTTCCCTTGGGTTGCTGGGTCTCTGTTGTCGGTCGTCGGTCGGATGACGAGGTTGGATGGTAGGAGGTCCTGTGAGAGGAGAGAATGGGTATCGACTATGGATAGGGCGGGGAGGAGCTAAGGGAAGGTCGGCGAGGGCTCCGTAATGTTCCTTGAGGGGTTCGGTGTCTCGGAATGTGGCTATCGGTTCGGTCGGTGCCTGGGCCAAAGGCAGCAGCGGGCGGAAGGGGACGGGGGACGGAGAATGACGGGATCTGCCTGTGAAGAAAAAGAAGAGGTGGAATTGGTCAGCCTCGCGCCGAGTACGTCATGCAGTGATGGTAGATCAAGTATGAAATGCGATAAAAAGCGTACTTTTTGCCTTTTGTTGAAAAGTTGACGTTGGCCAAAGTAATTGAACAGTGAGCTTGGAGGTTTTTCTTGGGATGACGGTAAAAAGGACGTTTCTGGTTGCTGAGGGGTGTGTTTTGGAGTTTCTGTGTTCCGGACGGGGATTGCGTGACTAAGGTTAAGAATGACACTGAGTCTGCCCTTCTTCTGGGGGGGTAAAATATCTCGTTTTGGTTCTGAACAAGCGCAAAGGCCCGGGGGGAGGGAATGAAGTGAGAGACTGGAAGTGGGAGAGGGAAGTGCGTGGGTGCGTGGGACAGCGTTGCGGCAGTGCGGCGTTACGGCCTTCGTCGCAGTTGGTGGTGCAGGCGGGACGCAGGTGCTTCGCATCGAGGGGTTAGCGGGGCTGCCTACCTGGAGGGTACTTTAGGTTTAGTCATCCAAACACCCCGCCGCGGGATACTCTGTGATTGGCGGGGCTGTACATCGGCCACATCGGAGAAAGACCGGTACCATTGCCGAATTGCTCCAGGCCCGGCATCTCCGTTTTCGGGGCTTCCTACCTTGTCGGTAATGATAATTCAGTTGTTCATATTATTCTGTTCTCTGATTCTCTGATATCTTTACTTATCAACTTGGATACAAAAGTACGCATTGGCAGATAACTCCAATAAGAGGCTGTTTTGGAGGCCTACGATGCATGTCACGTCCAGTACCGAGGTGAGGGGTAGGCGAGGTGCGAACGGTCGACCGGCAAAGGCCGTTATCACCGGCAGGTTGCGCTTACCCATTACCCGACCTTGAAGTAAAGTAAAGTAATCAATGGAAACCGCCCGGAAAAGACCTGGCTCATGAGTTCAGGAATTTCCGATGAATAAACACCGTCAGCCGCTGAGCAACCCTCGTCACAAACGTCGACTCTGCAATGCTCTAGTGAAGGCAAGCCCAGAGGCAGGCCCAGAGCTACCTCGCACTGCATCCGTCCGACGCTGTTCTTCTGCCTTGAACAACATCGTCCAGCCGCATAACAGCTCTAGCTGTAGTTTTCAAGCAGAGGCATCAATCTCTCATTCAAGCCCTTTATTCGTGAGTATCGAATAGTAGCCTCGGTCAACACAGTCAATTCTTAACAATTTACTCAGCAGAGCAATGAGTCCTGTTTCTTGTGTTCGAGAGATCGACATACCTAAGTCTGAAGAACACGTGCCCCAGCTTCCTCACCCGCTTTATGCTGTCTCACTACCCCAACCACACCAAACCTGTCGCGCGTGTGCGTATGTGCAAGGGAAACTGAGTCGGTCGAGAGCTTCGACATCTCTCAGCCACGTGACTCAAGCAAACGGCTCGTGACCACAGCGCATTTGGGGAAGAAAAGGTTTTTTTCCGCAGTGCCATCTTTTGACCGCAACGTCTCCCCTGCCTCCGACATCGCCGCTCCCATTCTCTAGCTACTACCTACCTATGTTTCCGTAGGTACAAAGTACGGAGCATTCTCTCAGCTGTTGCTTTGGGGATTTCTTAGCGCTTCTCAGCGCTCCAATTGCCATGCTGCCGTTTCACTCGCCTCGGCCAAGACGGTCCCCAAGCTTCCCCCGGCACGAGCTGTCCGATTTTGCCAAGCAAATGCCCAAGGTGACAAAAGCTTTTTCGGCGAGAAGGCCAATCGCCGCACTCACTCACATCTCACCAAGCGAGTCAAGGTTGACCAGATTGAGTGAGATTCCGAAGGTTGTCGGAATGAGGAAGTCTCGCTCAGCCACAAATTCGAATGAGCCACATTCACTGGCCACAGCGTCTGAAGTGAGATCGGATGGCAGGCAAGGCGTGATGAACCCTCATGGAGTAATCTGAACCGTAAACCTTGACATTAGAGGCTTGCCGCCTGAGGTGATGGCTTCGGGTCTTACTCATCGCAAGAACGCGTCGATGAGATGATGGTGAAGTGTGTCGTGTTCACATCAATTTGGTCACCTACCCCTTCAGACTGTGATTCCGATCGTAACTGTCAAAAAGGAAAGCCAAGTCACGAGAGAAGGGCCTTCGAGTCATCAGCTCTCATTCTTGTAGGCTATCGGCTGTCACGATTGACGCATCACAGACCTGGACAAATCATGTATGACACTATCGAGAATGACGTCTGACAGGTGGGAAAGTCATCGGCCGAATGATGCAGAGTAGCATCCTAATCCAACCTTAATCCAGCATCTCACTTTGCAGATTTACCACCGTAGGCGTGTACCGGGTATTCGTACGTAGTATGGGAATGGGACATGCGCAAGGCCGAAGAGCTTCCCCCTTTAACCCATTCCACCGTATGACTTTACCTATGGCCTCCTTGTAAGGTAAGAATAGCCTCGCACTCTGCGCACTCGTATCTCACAAACAAAGCTAATGTCCACCATGTAACTGCAAAACAACTCTCCGGCAACCATCATCAACCTGAGAAACCAAAAATCCTCCGCCGTCCGCCGTGAGTCCACCACACCCCGGCCCCGAGTGGCTCCGTCCTCTGCCCCTTCAATATCACCCAAACGCCAGGGATTCCCCACCATTTCTGCCCGTTTCGGAGGACGCCTCCCGTCCGCCGTCCCCCTTGGGAGCTCAAACTTTCTGCCCATTTCCCACCAATCGCCTCTAGATACATCTACTTGTAGTCCGAATCAGGCAGGCTAGATGTGCTCAATGGATTGAATTGTCTGAATCCTCCGTAAGTGACTTCACACTGGGAGGTGATCACCGGGACTAGATCAATGGAAACGGAAAAAAATACACCAGGTGCAAGAGTTCTATGCTTCTTTACATCACCTCCCGTGCGGCCAAGCATCCCCGAACCAGCTACCACGACCGATGTATGGCTCAATGCCACCAACAGCCTACAGGCGCTGACCTCCGTCCCGCCCCCATGTGCATACACGCCCCTTTCCAATTCCCGTAAACTGACAAGGCGGAATGGATCATGGGGATGGGTGGTGACAAGCAAGACACCACCCCTGAGCAACCACCACACCACCCATCCCGGTGGATCATCACCGCGAAGAAGCTGTCCATCAAGGGTGCTACATAAGTAACCAAGAAACGAAACCTACAAAACTAAACCCAATACTCCTTTTTTCGTCCCATCTTTTGGCTCTGGGTTCTCCTCTTGAAGCCTTGGAGATCTCGTCGCTATCCTGCTACGCGTGCTGTTCCATCCATTCCATCCCTTCGGCTCCCCCCTTGTTATAGCTTCTTTTCAAGCTTCATTTCTACCCAAACCCATTTGTTTGGTTTCGGGATTGTCTGGTACATTCGCTTCCGTTTCGCCTTTTCTCACTTTAGCCCCCCACCACTCGCTTCGACCTTCCCACCTTCCAACGATCCATTACACACCATGAAGGCTTCCGCGACATTGTTGGCCGCGGCCGCCATCTTTTACCAAGGCGCGGCCGCCCTCCCCGCTGTCGACTGGACCGGTACTGCCGTTACTCCGGCTAAAGTCGTCGAACGTGCCGACGCCGCTCCCTCAGCCTTCCCTGGCGCCGAAGGATTCGGCCGAAATGCGATTGGTGGTCGGACTGGAACGGTGTACAAGGTTACCAACCTCAAGTAAGTACTCAAACCACTTAGCCCCAGGTGTCTAAATAAGGACTCTCTCTGACTTTTGTTCTGTGCTACAGTGACTCCGGCACGGGATCTCTCCGTGATGCCGTCTCTCAACCCAACCGAATCGTCGTATTCGACGTAGGCGGCGTCATCAAGATTGACGCCCGGATCGTGGTGTCCAAGAATGTTTACATTGCAGGACAGACAGCTCCTGGCGGTGTAAGTGACCACTGAATCCGAACTTGAACGTAACATGACGACGAGCAACTAAGACCAAAAAAAACAATACAGGGCATCACAGTCTACGGCAACGGCTTCTCCTGGTCCAATTCCAACGAGGGAATCGTCCGCTACATCCGCATCCGCATGGGCAAGGGCGGCGACTCAGGCAAAGACGCAATTACTATCGCCGACGGCAAAAACATGATCTTCGACCACGTCTCTGTCTCCTGGGGCCGCGACGAAACCTTCTCCATCAACGGCGACGTCTCCAACGTCACCATTGCGGACTCTATCATCGGCCAGGGGCTCGAAACTCACTCCTGCGGCGGGCTCATGCAGACGAACGAGGGCGGCGTCTCCCTCTTCCGCAACCTCTACATCGACAACAAGACGCGCAACCCCAAGGTAAAGGGCGTAAACTCCTTCATCAACAATGCTGTGTACAACTGGGGCGGTGGCGGCGGCTATATCGCGGGCGACTCCGAGGGCGCGAGCTACGCGAATATCATCCAGAATTACTTCATCTCTGGTCCCTCGACCTCCGTCACGGCCTTCACGCGTGGCAACGCCAACTTCCGCGGCTATGTCAAGGATAACTTTTACGACTCCAACAAGGACGGCGTGCTCAACGGCGCCGCCCTCTGCGTCTCGACGACCTGCTACTCCAACATGGCTATCCAGACCACTGCCTTTGACTACCCCGCCCCGGCGAAGCTCCTCTCCGCCGCCGACGCCGTCGCGCACGTCGCAGCCAAGGTCGGCGCCTCCATTGCTCGTGACAGCGTCGACGCCGCTTTGGTGAAGGAACTACTCTCCTACGGAAAATCGGGCAAGCTCATCTCTGATGAGGCCGACATGGGGGGCGCGGGCGACATCGCGGCCGGCACGGCCAAGAAGGACACCGATGGCGATGGAATCCCCGACGACTACGAGACTGCCAACGGCCTGAACCCCAATGATGCCTCGGATGGTATGAAGATTGGTGCTGGCGGGTATGCGAACCTCGAGATTTACGTCAACTCGCTCGTTCCCGCCGTGTATTAGGCTCTTTCTAGCCTGGCAGGCCGATGCCGCGAATGAGCATGATTGGAGGTTAAGAGGGACCGAATCTCTATGGAGAAAACACCTTGGCTGTATATAGCACGCGCTTTTTCACATATTTTCTTGTGTATACCTACCAAACTTACTACCCATTGTCGACTTTTACGACGAGGCATATATGTTTTTTCAAATGGACATAGTCCATGGCCTTTTTTCAACTCTTGTTACTTTGCAGAACTTCTCAACGTTCAAGTCCCAAAACTGAGCGCCAAATTTCGCTGTGTTCCCACAAAGTGTTCATGCATGCTCGTTTGCTGGAACCCGGATCTAGAGTATGGCGCCGGCCCGGACGGCAGCAGGTGGTGGGGCACCGGAGCCACTCGCTTTCCGGGCTAACAAAGCACCTTATCTCGCGAACACCCGGCCTTGACCTCCGCCCGAGAAGAAGTGGGCCTGTCACAATCCGAAGAATGAGCCTTCTGGAAGGCGCCTGCCGTCTTGCAGAGTTGGCGAGAAAGTTAATGCCCGCCTCCAAGGGGGATCGACTTGAATGCGTATTGTTACAGACGAAGCTAACTGCTAATCATTCAAGTAGGAGCAGCTACAGGTCGAGCCATTAGAAACTTTGACTATCCAGAACCAGAGCCTACAGAGGCTAGAACTGGCTAACGCTCTAGTCTGCGAATCTTCCCAGACATCTCGTTCAAAGGTATCCATGGCTTGTTCGAAACAGGATGGCATTTTGCCATGATTAACATTGTATCGCCGACATGGTCAGGCAGTTTGCAAGTACTTGGATCGCGCGCGTGACCGACCGCCACGCTTCCGATTAATATACGACTCCAAAATCTTCCGTGATATGTGAATGAATGTTGGTATCCTCCTCGGTCAAAGAAGTCCCGCTCAAGTGTTCGCCACCCCCTCCCAAAGCATTTCCCATATTGACATCCAGAGTCGTTCCCAACCACCTCACAATCATACGGTGTCGCCCATACGGCAATCTTCATCTGTGGCCCATCAAATTCCGGTAGGTGCAATCGACGAATCATATACTAAAAGATCCTCTCATTGCTCGGACGTTACCGACTCCCGAAGGGACTGTCAACTCGAGTTCACTCGTTTGATCGCTGCCGATAGCTTTCGTGTGCCCATAGCGACCGTTTCGAAACCTGTCTTGGTGATCGCTGCGAAGGAATTCGATCCTAACGCCGCCTTGGCGACTTTCGATACCGCAACTTCCAAGTCGAACCTGGTGACGAGAACCCCTATCTTTCCACTCGTCTCTGAACGTCGTCCAACTAGTCATGAAGAAGATGACGGCATTCCATACTCCTTGAAGTGGGAGGACTGTGGCGCTGGCGACGTTCAGGCCAAAGCTGACAACTTCGGGCTTGAGAAGATTGACTACTCTGTTGATAGAGCTTGGTGTCCATGTCACCAAAACAGAGATGGCAAAGATGAAACTGGTTCTGAGGTATGCAAGCTTGACAGGATCTAGACGATCCAACCTGGCAGAGAACTTTGTACCAACGCCCCCAATTCGTTGAAAGACAGATCGACGGGGTTTTCGTGGCGGGGGGTCTGATGTGCATGTGGTTTCGAACCGAGGGCTTGGTGTACAGTGTCCATCCTCTTCACTCGTACGCCATGACTGTTGGTGTCGGGGCTGTTGACCGTCCGACTGCTTTGTAATGGCTAGGGATGGCACCTGGGGAGTCCAAGGCCTGGGTACCATCGTTGTAATTTGTATATCCGTCACAGCGGTTCCATAGAAAAACTCGGTACGGGTTGTGAGGTTCTGAGAATCGTCAACTTCACGCCAATTCACAAGTAGCCCTGGCGGTTTGACAACGTACCTTTTCTGCTGAGTCTCGCTCATCCGAACAGGATGTGTCTTTGCAGTCTCTTCCGGTATTGCTGAAGGTGAGGTTGTGGAGTTGATTGCGGTGATGGAAGACGTGGTAGCCGACGGCAAAGTAAATAACGCATGACCCAACAATGCAGGTCCAGATGGGAATATAATAAGTGAATATACGAAGTTTGGACCAATCATGATTTATCCAGCACCATATCTGCGAACGTTAGTCACCGTACTTCATGGCGAGAATGCAGAAAGATCGTCTACGTACGGTGGCATCTCCGTAGATAAGGTCATCTGGGCCACGAGGTCGGACTAGGAGACAAACAACGGCTGGGATCATGGGGAAGCCAAAGCAAATAGCGCAGTAGACCCAAATGTAGCGTCGGAAGGAAGAAGGATTGGCACCGGCGAAGAAGACGAGGTAGACATTGACAGCCATGGCGAAAGACCACCACGGGTCAGACTGCATGAACCTATTGCATCGAGTCATCAGCACTGCCTGTACAGAAAAGGCCAAATGAAGGAGAAGACGAACATTTCGAGCAAAAATGCTTGTGCTTGACACAGAGCGGATTCTGCTCCAGCTCGCATGCCGTCGTAGCCCATGGCACAGGCAATGCTGGCACCAACATTGGCAATCGACGCGAAGACGATGAAGAGATTTGGAACACTTCGAATGCGCTTGAACTGCCAGTAGGTAATAAATATCAGAGTGACTCCGACCAACGACAGGGACGCGCCAATTCTTTCCAAGGCGATAATAATGTCGATCTGGGACTGGCTGAGGGACTGCACTTTCTCGCCCATGTCGGCAACTGGCCCGTCCTGACCGTCCATGAATCCGGTTGATGACCAAGGTCTTCGCTTTGACGTAGTTTGGTAACTTTGGTGAGTGATCGAGCCGTTGATTGAGGCAGCGACTCGAAGACCGACTGGGTCATAAGGTCAGTCATTTTTGTCTCCTGCGTAGGGAAGTGCATCCTGGGGAAAGAGCTGCAAGCATACCTGCCTCCGTATCTCAACAGCTGAGATACAGTCTGCAATGCAGCGAGACCCGGCCCCCTTGATGTATATGTGAAAGGACCGAAAGATGAAGCGTAGGTCGTGGCTCGAAAGGCAGAGGTGGCACAAATGGCGGCCGTGGCACAAGGAAGAACCGAAACTCCCAGTCGATGAGAACCCACAGAGACTAAAGCAGTGAAAAGGATTGGCCGGTGGGAGGTACAAGCCTCGAGGATCCGAAGACCAGAGTGATATGCCGTGTTGCTGGACGGCAGCTCTGTGTGACGAGCTGCTGGCCTCTGCAGCACCAGCGGAGGCGAGTAGGGAGCGGGTTGAAGAGATTCGAGCGTATTCGAGAAGGAAACAATCGAGAGGTCGAGAAAGAAGGGCAGGCGAGATCATGTATTAATTTCAGCAGCCTAGACTTGTAGCCACTTTTGGTCGAGACGCTGAGGTGCATGACCGACTGCGGAAATCCTGGCTTTGGACGGGGAAGAGAGCCGACGCAAGGAGAAGTTACACGAACGAGAACGGGCGAAGAAGAAGAAGGGATATGGGCGGACAGATCGATGGCGAGCGGCGACGGGTACGAGAAGATCTTCTCTGAGGCGGCAGGGGAAGGAGGGGGGGGGGGGGCTTGGCCGAGAGAAAGTGCAGAGGATGTTTGAATGCCGGGATCGAGAGACGAGAAGGAAGGAAGCGGTGACTGTTTCCGATTCGAGGCAGACCTGACGGGATTCTTCTCTGATTGGAATTGGTGCCAATATCAAAAAGGCCGTGGCTTGCAAGTTGCAAATGTTGACACGAGGGAGGAATATCCAGGATGAGGTGGTTGCGCGTGTGAGTGGGAGTGAATGAACGCGATGAAGGGGCAGGGGTCAAGGGGAAGTAGGGAAGGACGGAAGAAGGGGGGAAGGGACAAGAGAAGGAACGTATACATCGGGAGGCAGTTACCAAGAGATGAAGTCAAAACAGAGCACTGTGGAGGGGAGGTACGGTAGAGGTAGAGGGGGATTTGAGGGACGAGAAGTGGGAAGGTGTGATACTGGTACACAACCTTGTTCGAGGAAGCAACTACAAGACGAACGAATCCAGCTTATCCAGGCAAAGTAGGTGCCGTCTTCCATTCGTGGAGGTCGAGGTGGAGGCGGAGGAAAGAGATGACTGAGAATGTGTAGATGGCTTACCTTACCTGCCTCAACGGGCCTCGATGAGATGCCCTCCGGGCGAATTCCTTCAGGATATTGGATGCTCTCAACCCTCTCCACACGGGATGCCGGGGTCCTAGTGTGAGATAGGATGTGAGATGAGATGCAGTAGTCTGATTTTGGACTGACTGGGGATGAAGGTGATGAATGATTTCTACATGGGAGAAAAAGGCGGAAAGGCATCACAGCGGGATAGTAAGACGGCACGATGGTTCGGTGAGATCTGTAAGGCGAGTGAGATGGAAAACCCCAATCCATCTGCATCATCTTGGCTGCCACACTGTATTAGGGCCAATCAACAAGACCCAACCAGACATGATGTGCGGAGATGCATCCTCACAAACAGCCTCCACAGGCCAACGCCAGGCTCTTTTCTACACAGGGCTGGGCAGGGCTGGGCAAGGTGGTAGTCAAATGGAGGTGGCCCGGGCAAACAAAGAGAACTGCTGACCAGGGAGAGGGAAAGAAAGCTCAGCAAGCAGAATGCGATCCCGATAGCATGAGAACGAGATTAACATGAGTGATGCTTGTCACTGATGTTTCCGGAAACGAGAAGAATAAGTGAGAAATAAAGTGCCAGTACCCGGCAATCTCTTCTAAGCCCCAATTGGGATCACCACAGTGTCCAGAATCGTCATGATGTGGCCGAGAATAAGGTACTCTACATTAGGGAGCGAAGCAAGGTGAAGAAAGTTGGATGCGCCTTACGGATATTGTCGACGAGTAGGCACGTAAGACGGGTAGAATGTCTCTCGCCTTCGATTATCTGTCTGCCCTGGTGTCTCACCACCACGTCGTGGCGGCAGTGTACCCGTTGGATGTGCGTCCCAAGACGTTGATCGGATGGCTGCCTGTCTGAATCTCAATCTGGATGAAATGAGAGAGGGGACGACTGGGAATGACTGGCGAGACCAAGAGCCGCGGCGTTCAATTCTTCCGCTCAATTCACGCTTCCAGGCTTGCAGTGCAGGAGGAAGTCGCGTTTGGCTGGACCCCAGGTACCTCTTTCCTGCCTCACTGCCTCCACATCCTGCCTCCTGCCATCTCCCACTTCTTGCCTCCCTGAGGTACCTAAGGTACCTCATGGCAACCTTAGGTACCTATTCATGGCAGATCAAGAGGAACCGCAAGGAAAAGGAAGAAACAATGCGTCGATTTTTTCGGTCACTGAATAGGTACCTCAACTTACTTCACCTGCAAGACCACCGCTTCAGCATGTTGGTCTTCCAATCTCTGACCGCCCTTCCTGATGCACTTTATGTCCCGGGCGGTCGTGGATGTGGCTTGAGGACTTGGCTACGTTAACGGCCGAAATATCGAGAATTCATTCGTCATCCTTCTTTGCATCTTGCATCTTCCTACGTAGCCCGCCGTTTTGTCGGTCAGATCGGTCGGACCATGCGGTCCCGAGGCGTCATCATCCAGCACACGGTGCGGTCCCCTCCAAAGTCCACGGTAAAGTTGATGGATCCGAATCGTTGCTGTTGATCCCTCACCTCGTGGCCGGTTATCGAGATACAAAATGCCATTGATTGGAAATAACCGAATCGAGACAACAGGCCCACTGACGGCTTATGGTACGATCTTCCTTCTAAGAGTTCAAGGGTTTTGTCATTCTTCTCCCCCTCGAGACTGCTCTGGATATGAGATCTGACCAGATTGCCTAGCCAAGTCACTTAGTTTGGCCTCTGCATACCTGGAGCCTGGACTCGTTGCACCCAATCTTGTATGCGATCGTTTGCCTGATATGCACTGTCTATCTAGCTGTGCCGCAGCTGGGGCTCCCACCACGGATGGCTGAGCTGCCAGCAGGCCATCAGACCGAAAATAGAGGCAAAACACCATACCGATGCCACAGGGACCAGCCTGCATCGACGAGTGCCAGCAACCTGGGACGCAGTAATGGGGGACACCCTCTCGCCCATATCAACTGATGTGATGGACTACGAATACAACATGGATGCGTGGAGGTGCAGGTGAGGTTCAACGATGCAGCAAGAGCAAACGACTAGCCCCTCATTACGATGTCCAACCAGACTTCAAAGTGCACTGCACTGTTGTTTGCCTGCCTATCACGGGCTGGCTGGACTTGACTTTGTCTCCACGAATCACGGATCACAATCCGCTCCTTCACCTACTCTTTGGTTTGCCGGGATAGCCTTTGGAAACCGAATGAACTCCCAACTCGAGCTGGAAACCCGCAACCAAACATTCAGACCAGACTCGAGAAATCCGGCAAACGCTAGCATGGGAATTTCGAGTTGCTCAAGGCTTTGCCCAGCTGCGTTGCGCTGGACCTGCTTCTCCTACCTGTCCTTCTCGGGCCAGGACAGAAGCGAGATGCGGACTCTCAATGGGTGTTGCAGAGTTCGGTAGCGATCCAATCGCCCGCGTGTTCTGTCTCTTGTAAATGCATCCCGCCTGACTGCGTTGTAGTCTTTTGGCCACCGAGCGACCAGCGACGGATTAGGGCCAACGCACGTAAGGCCATCTCAAAGCGACGGTCACCAGCCTAAGCGGTTGCGAGCGGGACATATGCCAAAAGACACCGGTTTACAGGTACTTGACACTGGAGACGCTAGGTGATCTCCGCGTGCGATGCAGAATGCCAATCCTGCACTGTCGCTTGTTGCTCCCCAACCAACCCGCAGTGCCCTTGTTGTCCACTCGTACCGGGAGCGAACCTCAATTTCCTGCGCTCACCCAACACTCTCTCCAAACCCCTCCGACGGCCGAGACACGCAAGCAAGGTCTCCCCAGGTTGATGCTGAGAGTCACGCCATTCCTCTCCCTCGACCGCCAGGTCTCGATGTGGCGTCTGCAGTTTGCTATGAAAAAGGGCATGCGCTCAAACCCTGCGCGTCGCTGCCTCCCTTTTTGAGCAGTCGTCTTCGTCGTCCTCATCTTAGTTTGACAGAATCACTCGACCCTTTCTCTGCTTTCGTGCGGCTTGTTTGCTCCCCTCGCTGCAGTTAACCGGCGAGCCACTATTCGTCGTAGCAGCGCCAGTCTAAGACTCACCATCTACCTTGATGAATCCTCCGGATATTCTTTGCCGGATCGATTCTCTCAAATGCTCGAGCTTGCCATCCACTTGGCGCTCGTATCGTTTGCCCGAAAGCCCAACCGAAGACAGCAGTAGTAGAGCGTGATGACCATTCTCATCCCATGCGCGGTGGATTATTGCCAACAACGACTCCCAGAAACACGCTTCAATACAATCATCACAGCTCGAGGCTTCCAATGCATACCCATCCTTGCCCTCATTTTGAAACATTAATGGTATCTTATTCGTAAGTTCGCCATCACTATGGGAGGATATCTGTCCCATGTTCCGACCGTGACTCGTGAGTCCATGACCAAAAATACATGCATTTTCATGTGCCCGATTCCTAGCTTCGTGAAATTCCCAGCCGTTCTGTCCATTTTCCATATACCTTTCGATGTAGCTGAAGGCTACTCGGAAAGGGTCTTGAAATAAGTCCGATAGATCTGACCGATAGCCTGTCTCAAAAGTGAAACGCCTCGGTGATCTGAAGCAATGCCTTCAAGCACTCGCAGCTTCCACACCGAGGCCAAACCCCGATTTCGTGGTTAACTCAAGCATCTTTTCTGCCACCCACCTACCATTATGGGGGCCTGAAAAACATGAAGTGCGTACCATAACCATTGGCCAGAACATTGTCATGGTTCTGTAAGCAATGCCCTCAGTTGGCGCCTCTTTCTTCCCTTCTAGGCCGAATACCGTTCGGATATCTTCGAGAACGTCTTCAACGACAGAGACACCATCCGACCAACTCGGCATAGGACCTAAGCTTATGGCGACTTTGCCGCTGCTCTCTTTTAGAGTGTTTCGTAACTCGATAATCCTCTCTAAGAGGTATACACGAAGGGAACGGTAATGACTTCGCGCGATAGCAACGGATGACTCGGACGACAGTGAGAATAGACCGTTGAAGACTTTTTGCTGCTGTCCGGAGCATGTTGAAGCACCAGAGAAACCGAGGAATGCGACGGCTGCCTCAAGGTCGCTGCTTAAATCGATCCCGTTCCGGATGAGGTCTAGCAAATCCTCCGGGGGGCTTTCGGTTAACCTGGTCAAGTTACCTTGGACTTGCACCTTGAAGTCAAAGGCTCTCTTGAAATCGACTACCTGTCGAACAAGCGGCTCGAGAACCGGGCCTTTGCCCCACGGAGTTTCCACTTCTTCCAGCATTGACCATAGAGGCGTCAAGTGGTCTCGTTGTATGAACATCTCCATTAACTTGTCATAGAAAGATCAGTTGGAGGGCTCATGGTAGAAATGATCAATGCTACTCACCGCCGCATGACAGAAGAAGGTGAAGCAGGCTTTATCGACTTCGTTTGTCAGGCCATGTTCTGCCCGGAACTTGAATAACTGCAAGCCTCCTGCCCCGTGGGGAAATACGTTCTCTTGCAAGTCAATTGTGCTTGTGCCTCGCTTGCCATTGATGACCTGCTGGGTTTAGCTAAGGCACACTCGGAAAGTAGCCCGAAACATAATAGGCGTTAGCTTCCAAGGGATCAACTCAGGCATACCTCGAACATGCCAAACAAAAACAACGTGACCAGGTTGGCATCGTCTCGCACAGCAACTGGGTCTTGCAGGGCTTGGTTCAGAGTCGAAATGGCTTTGCCGTAATGTCGACGAGCTTCGACCATGAGCCCTGACTGACGGAGTGATCGAGAGGCACTCGCTAAAGCCACAGCGTGTGTGGCGTGTCGTGCGTGACTGGCATCAGAGAGATCGACATCGTAGTACTCGGGAAGCCGACTGAAAATCATGATACTCGCTTGCGCGGCATAGTTGGTGTAGAAGCGGTTCACCGATAATACTTCTGGGCCGACTTGGATGGATTTCGGAAGGACGAGCTCCGGCTCCTCATCCGAATCCAGCAGTGTTTGGGAGGATTCTCTTCGAATAAGGACCGGCGGCCCAGGTGAGCTGTCCTGCGGTTCAGTCTGATATCGGATTGATGGAGGTTGCTGGCGGTGTTTCCATCTAGATGTCCATGATGCTGGATACCCGGAAGACCGTCGTTGTTGGGACGCAGAGATGAATGCTCTTCGTGGCTGGGGGCCGTCGCGCTTCATTCACAAATCAGCCTGGCTAATATCATCTCATCGCCGGGGTCTCCGAGGCTTACTGTCATGCGCTTCTCCTCGACCCTCGAATGGCCCTGTTGTGATTTGGCCAAGCTGGCCATGGCGACTAGGTCTCGTCAATCCAGCGGCGGTGTGGGCTCGACATTCGAGCGACTCTTTCATCAGCAGTACCCCAACAGGACCAAAGCTGACGCGCTTGAAGGGAAATTGCGGACATTGAAGCTATGTAAAGAGGTCAAATCGTAATGGCAAGGTTGGGGAAGCTCCCCACGATAAATGTGGAAATTTGGAGAAAGTTTGATCTGGCTGATCCCGGTTAAGATCGCTCGTAGTCGTAGCGGCATATCCCATGTAGTCGAGGTCGACCACTCATCCATCATTGGCAACGCGGGCGAACACGGCGCGTGCAGTAGCCCCTAGGCCCGGGGAACGACCTCGGTGAGTTGGGTCAGGACAAAGCCTATTGGTGTCCGTCCGGTGGTGGCGGAAGTGACTGAGACGTCACTTTGACCTGCCCCGAACCGGTCAAACTCTAAAAGCGCACAAGTAGCGCGCCGCGCTTGTTACTAGGGCGCCCAATGTCTCACACGGCGCACTCGAAGAATCCTCCGGGGCAGGTTCCGGTTACCTAGCTGTCTTTGTTCGTTGGCTCTTCTTTCTTGTTGGGAATCCAGCTGTGGACTGAGCTGTCCCACACATGGTCGTCAGCAATTCGACCTTGAGGACAGACTTTGCTGGCGCAGAGGGATGCTGAGCCCAATGCCAAACCTGCAATTCTAACCGTATTGAGAAGGCAAGCCGAGGTGTCAAAGGAACCCATGATACGCCGAGTCTAAGGCCGAAAAACCCTGAGCTCAGACTTGAACATGAGGCTTAAGCTGCACAGACGACACCTTGATTTCGTGCATCAGGGTCTCTGCCTGTTGGATAATCGCTCACACGCGTTGAAAGGTTCTTGATACGTTGGCGCGTGCCCCCATCGAGCTGCAGGACATTGGACCCTGACAGCAGCCAGATGATCTGCGGCATACGATGCCGCTGGATCCACAAGCCACGACGAGCCAAGACCCCATTGCTACTATTTCCAACCAGAAGGCTGTTCAGCCATGGCAAAGTCTCTTCCGTTGGATGGATGGATGGCAAAGTCTCGGATGCCAAAACGCGGCATTCGTATGAAATCGAGGCTTGTCGAACCTTGCCAGGCACCGAGGGGGTGGAATTTCTGACTAGGCCATATCACTATGTTTGTAAATCAGGTACGAAGTTTACCAGAGTTGGCTGATGGCGCAACATGTAATACCCAACTATCATCCATGGGGTTCCCAAAAGCAGCTGATAGTGCGAGCTGACACTAGCATCGAGATTCCCTTTGCATCTTATTCGGCGATTCAAGGATCAAGCAATACCACTTACTCGAGAGAGGATGCCTTTCGTCCCATGGAAAACCTATGGAGCAAGGCGGGACAGGCTTTTAGCGTCGTCAGCAACCTTCCCCTCGATGCCGTTACTGGACCTCTGCTTTGAGCCATAGAGTCTGACGTCAAGGATTCCTCATAGCTATGGTGGGAGAGAAGCCGTTGCATTGGAATTCCGCGAGGGGTGAGAGGGCAGAAAAGGAGCTTGGGTCTGATGTTGAACCCCTCATCTTCTTCCACCCTTACCCATGAGTATGATCTCCCCGTGGATGGAGCAGCACAGACGAAATTCCCCAACTTTCCCCGACCTTGACGGCGCGCACATCACAAGAAGCGAAGAGCTCGGATCCTCGCAACGCAACCATGGAGAGGGACGGCAGCGGACTCGTCCAGAGTTTGCGACGGGATCCTAGACAGGGCCGCCACAGGCCGACCTCATCGCCGACGGACTTAGTCGGCAAGTTATTCATGCGACATGACACATCCAATTGGACGGACGGCATTCTCACGGCCACTGCACCGCCGCCGGCGGGTTGCCGTTTTGCTGCCCAGTCGTCCGTTCACACACACAACGCAGCCAACGCTTCAGCCACCTCACTCACATTGGAAGCCCGCCTAGTCCTCCTCCATGATCCATCCCCGCCTTTGCCGCTGATTGACGCCGCAACAGTGAGTGCGTGCCGGCGTTTGACGGCAATGCTGGCCGGAACTGTGGGGCCTCGGCGATGTCCACGATGAGCGGCTCTTACACGCCCAACTCTATCGCGCTTCCGATGTCAAGCAGTCCGTCACCAGTTTCCAGCGCCGGCTACTGGCCCTATCCTCCATCGGCGACGGACTCAACTACCATCCCGTGAAACCCTAAAGCCGCTTCGGTCGGCAGAGCTGAAAAGACATCACTTCCACTCCAAGTCATGTGTGTTGGAAATCCCAATTGCCGGATAACTCAATGGACGGGAGTCCGACTCATTTGCAGAACAACTAGTCAACTACATTCCAGGATGCACGACACAGACTCGTGAGGAACCGAACCCCTTTATTGTGTTTGTGCCTGTGTTTAGGGCGAGATCAAGGTTGTTTAAGGTTACGAGAAGCAGGGCCGAGAATGGGGCCGGCAGTCCCCTCTCACAGCCCCGTCACGGTGCGTCCCACACCATCCCGTGAAGGACCCTTTACCGTCCGCGTCGCGGCTGACAGTCCGTACACTATGAACGCCGCCGCCGGCACTTGAATCTGAGCCCCTTCCAAACCACCCAACACACTTGACTAGAAAGCTGGAACACGGCCTTGCACTCATGACGCCGTGCCAGCTTCTACCGCCGGGAGCACGCCGATCTTTTGAAACCACCTCTCTAAATGCCCATTAAACTCCTCGCTCTCGAGCTGGTGAAACCAGTGGCCCTTGCCCTCGATCACCACAATCTTATCTAGCGCCTCATCGCCCTTCGGCAGATGATCACGGTCAGTACCAACATACCATTCGTTCGAACCTAGCGTTAGGCGCGGGCACTTGAGCTTTCCCGCAAAGGCCTTGACTGCATTCTCTTGCCTGCCCAGGCTCTGCGCGTCTCCCCAGCCACCCCAACACAGGGCGTACATGACGGCCTTGTCGAACTGTGCCATGCGGCGGAGGTGCCACGTCTTTTGCCAGGCTGGACATTCCGGGGAGTAGCAGTATGTGCCGAAGAATTCGATGAGAGTCGGGATGATCTTGTCCTGGGCTTCGGGGTCGTTAAAGAGGTAGGTGTCGCGTTCGCGGATGGCATTGGGGAAGGCGTGGATTGGGTCTACGCCGATGGATGCTTTCACGAGGTCCGGACGAGTGGTGGCAATGTAGTACCCTGCCGCTTCACCTAGGGAATGCGAGATGACGATGAGGTTCTTGGTGATGCCTAGGTGTGATAGAATGGCGAGCATGTCTTCGGCTGTGGATTGCGGGTAGTAGTCTATCACCTCCCCGTCGGCGGATTTCTCGACGCCGGGCCAGGTGCGGATTTTGGGGTCCGGCGCCGGGGCGGAGGATTTGCCCTGACCGCGGCTGTCGATGGAGATTACGCGGAGGTTGTGGGAAAGGAGGAAGGGGACCTGCCAGGACCAGTCGTGCATTTCGCACGAGAGGCCTGTGATGAGGAGGACTGTGTGGGATGCCGTACGAGGGCCTTCGTCTAGGTAGAAGAGGTTGAAGGAGGGGTTTCGGGAGAAGTAGGGCATTTTGGCGGTTGGAGATTTGGGTTGGGGGAATTGGGTCAGATGGAAAGATATCACGATGGGTTGCGTGAGTGTGACTTAGGATTCACGATGTAGACGGGTTCAATCTCATCTTTTATTGCCTTGTGAGTGATGATGTTGGCGGGGTTCCTTTGTCAGACGCTGATCTGAAGGCGTTCTCCATTCATGTGTTGGCACCAGGTCGAATTGCCACTGGCGTAGCCACAATAGGAAGTAGTAAGTAGGTAAGACATTTCCCCTGTAAGCCGACCCCGCGCATTTGCGGTACCCAATCGATCTAATTGCTTCATCGCTAGTTTTGATGGCTATCGTTGGTATGCCATCGTGGAGGCTCATTGCGCTTGATTCGGGAAGTGAGTCTTACGTGAGATTGTTCGGTCGGTCGGAGAACCGAGCACTTTGGGTTGAAATGGCAGAGCTACTACCCAAAGGAACTTCCCTCCTTGCATGCGAACCAATGTCTGAGCAGAGCATGCCTCAAATTTGAATGTCTACTGGTTTGAGATGGTGTTCACCTATGCACTTGGATAAGAGAGTATGGAGGCACGGGCCGCGAAGTTCGGGTTCGGGCTCGGGGCCGTGGGTGGAATTGCGGGGGGTTCGGGGTCGGGATTATGGGGTTTGGTGGAGACTTTTGTCCGACTTTCCGAACCCGAAAAGTTTAGAGTTGGGATTCAGTCACGTCAGACTAGATACCTTACCTTCGACTACCCCTGAGTAGGTAATTAGATGAACACGCTTCTGTCTAAGATGAGGACGAGGAGATATCCGCGAGGAATATCAGAGGTACGTTTGTAGGAGGGATTTCAAAGTCGTATCAAGTAGACTAGGTTAAGGTAGCTAGGCAAGCTATTCGACTATCATTTCTTTGAATCTTGAACAAGCACATGAACTATTTGACTTCAACAATTTTAATGCACTACGTACGTCACAAAGAAGGCTAAGAAGTCTGGATTTAGTAGGTAAAAGAGGAAATAAGAAGTCTCTATACTAGGACAAAGACGTAATTACATTTCGGTTGAGGAAACGGACACCGGGCCGAGGACAGAGGTAAAAGATTAGAAAGACAGAAAGTCGTCTCAAGCCTTCCTGTATATCCTGTCTAGGTTCCTAAGGATGTCCTACTGAAAGCATTCCTGTCAAAAAGCTTTTCACCTTCGCCCGGTCTCGTGCCAATCCATCCAAGTGGTTGTCCCTGGCTTCTTCCTGTCGGCGAAGTTCTTTCATAAGCTGCATGAATGTTTAGCTAGAGAAGGTACCCAAATACAAAGACCATCACTGACCTTAAGTCTTGTCTCCTCCCTCTCTCTGTCCCGTCCGAGTGTCTCATACAACGTCATCATGGCTTGGAGAGCGTTTCGATATGTTTCGGCGTAGGTGAAGTTGCCGAGATCCCACTTTGATGCCCGATTCACTGCCAATGTAGCCTGTTCTTGGGCAAGTTCAAAATCGCCTATTGCTGTATGTATCCTTGAATCATAAGTAGCAACCTTGGCGATCGCCACTTGGTGAACCTCCGGGCTTGACTGCGTCTTGAGGATCCAAGCAGCGCCAATGGCTAAAGGCAGAGCCTTTGCCGCTTTAGAATAATCGCCTGTTGTCTCGTACATGTCTAATAAGGCGAGTACCGCATCCAAGTCGGTGGGTTGAAGGTCCACGTATTTCTGCTTCAAGTCTGCAGCTTGCTCCCGTTGACAGGCCAGGAACATGACATCTGCACGCGCAGATGCGCAAAGAATGTCCCGATTATCTTCATAATCATAGTCATCGTCAGGAAAGAGAGACTCGCTTATGGCCTGCATGCGGGATATGAACTGATTCGCGACGTCAAAATTTCCCATTCTTGCGTAAGCTCGTGCCAACTCGGCCATAACCTCGACCGTTTCTTCTTCTTGGTCTGGTTCGCTGTTTTGAAACCAATCCCAGAATTTCGAAAGGAAGACTTCTGCGTCTCTGTGGAAGCCTTGCTTGGTGCATGCATTTGATAGGGATCGATAGAGAAAGGCATATTCGTCGGGGGACTCAACCCCAGTTTCTTCGAAAGAGTGGAGGAATTCCCGATGGAGGCGCTCTGACTCTGGCCACATTCCTAGTTTTTGGTAGATGATGAGAAGGCTTTGCTTGACTGCGAGTGAAAGTTCGTGGAATTCGCCGAGTTCTTCCTCGGAATGTGCCAGAAGCTCTTCAGCAAGCTGGAGTGCCTCTCGAAACGACTGAGTCGCCAACTTCGCACTGATGAGGCTCTCCGTAAACCACATAGTCTCCTCTGCATCTTCGCCGAGCGCTTGACGAGCCAGATCTACTGCTAAGCTATGGTTCTCGACGGACTCTTGGGCCTTATCGGTATTTCCGTAAACCTGTCCCAGTAGATGATGGACGCGACAGGCCATGTCAGGGCGGGTTGTCCCATAGACCTGCGGCGACGCTGCTAAGATCTCCAGCAAAAGAGTCTCAGCTTCTTGGAAGTCTTTGTTCCCAACGTGAATCGCTGCCAAGAGCCTCATGGTATCAATTAAGTACCGAAGGGTTAGGCTTAAAAGGAAATTTTAGAATTTATAAATCTCAAATGCCTACTGCCTCAGCCAGCTTTTTACTCACTATTAGCGAGTCAAAGAACAATTTGAGATTTACAA